CCCACCCCGCATCCCGCCTGGAAACGTAAACAATGGGCATCGGCGTCTTCTGCTCAATACCGAAAATACCTACTCAAATTTATCATGGGATTTTAATCAGAATTTTAGGGTTGACAACGTAGATTTTCGATATTAATCGCAAGGGGTAGTGCTCGATGGTTGCCGGAACATTAACATTGAATTGTTTCGTTCCGGTTATTGTAGGAGGTTAGTGTTCTTGCTCCAGTGGCTCCATTCACAAGTTGTAAGTATTTTTGGAGGCAGAGTAAATAATGCCCTTTATGTAAACTATGGTCACTGTAAAGCTTTGTTGCAACGGCTTTGAATGGGTCGACTCCCCCTACCATGCAGCATGTTAAATACCGCTGGTCATTTGCAAACGGGTGATTCTCAGTGTAACATGTTATGATTTATATCATATATATTTTAATCTGTGTTATTTTATGTCGAATAGCAAAATACATTACTTCTGGTTGGATTGCGGGCTTTTATAGTCAACTGAGGGCTTTGTGTAATCCCCTCAACAATCAATCAATTGTTGATTTGCGTTGCAGCTAATTTGCAGCTGCCCTATCCACTACTGTTCTAATAATTGTGGAAAAGGTATCTAGGAGATGTGCACAGCCTATAGTACTTATATGTAGAGGGATATTTTACGTACAGTTATGCTTGAGTCCAGCGCCAAATCAATTAGTTGATGATTGTTGAGTAATAAATGAAAGCAAGCTTTAAAAAAATAGTGCTAAATGTACCGTTTAATATGGTTGCAGGAACACGGACCAGAAATGTTCATGACATGAGCAAAGAAGTCTTTGGGGTCATTCCACCTGAAAGAATAGGTGAGTTGACATGATAGCGTAACCAACGCAATTTGTCTCTGTACAGACTCTATGAGAAAGCTTCCTTTGGTTTGCATCAAATGGTGGTTTTCAATGGTTTTGGTGGTGCCTTGTTTCTTCCCTGTTGATTTTAATCCCCCCACATCAAAATCCTGGCTGATTTGTTATCATTGAAAATGTCCTTCAAAAATCTTGACAATTTGTAAAATTGGGGGAATTGGTTTGGATTGGTCCTGCACACTCCCCATTCACTTGCTCTGTCTAAATATCATGGTGCAAGATCCCCTACAGCAGAGTTCAATTCCTGTTACTTTAGCTAGTGCGCCTTAGGCAACCGGCCCATAGTTCTAGTGACCATTCTCTAGACAGGGATGGATTCTGTCTGAACCAAAACCAAAAGAAGTTTTGTGGTCACCTGGGTCACCTCTGTCGATTCCACTATTTTTTGCGTCGAAATCCGGACCTATCAATTTTCGTCGAAATTTCACGCCGCCGGGCCATTTTAAGTGTTTTACGCCTGTTTTCCTTGGACCGGCCCGCCTGCTAAGTAGGCAGCCCATTTTACGCTGCCCGCCAGATTCAAAAGATCACCCCTTAACACTCGAGTTTCTATAGACAGGGGTGGTTTCTGACGGAACCAAAAATGGTTTTGTCGTTTTGTGGTCCCCTGGGTCCCATCTGTCAATACGGCTACTTTTCCGTCGAAATCCGGACCCATCAATTTTCGCTACAAATATTTGGAAAGTTAGCCAAAAATGAAAATAAAAAAATCACTGGGAATGGTTGGGATTTGTCCGACAGCGTCCTATTTCAATCTCTCCGTCGAAATTTCACATCGCCGGGCCATTTTAAGTGAGTTACGCCTGTTTTTGTGAGTTGGTTCGCCTGTGAGGTAGGCAGCCCATTCTACGCTGAGCGCCAGATTCAAAAGACCACCCCTTAAAACTCAAATTTCTCTGAACAGGGGTGGTTTCTGACGGAACCAAAAGTAGTTTTGTGGTCC